ATGCAATTAAGCAATGAACATAAATTAAAGTTCATATAGTATAATAAGTTGCTGGCAAACATTGACATGCTGGTAAGATTCGCACTTTATATTAAAGTCTATTGAAAAATTATTAAAAATTTATATATAATTTTGAGTCTCATGTCTACAAAAATTAAGTAATACATAAATAAATGGATGTACAAACTGATATAATCTTTTATATAAGTTATCTTTTCGTGATTATTAGTATCAAATTTTTTTAATTAATGTAAAATTAATACAGATTTTGTTAAAAATATCTTTTAATTATTTTTTTTCAATATATATATATATATATATATATAATTGTTCTTAATTTTTGTATCTTGTTTGCAAATAGGCTTAGGTGAAGGGCATTGTGCAAAATATATTAAAGGAATTATAAAGATAAGATGGCAAAAAAACTACTGGTACGATCTGAACTATATGAGAAATACACTTAAATAATATAATTTGTTGCTAACAAATTAAATGATTATCTATCACACATATCATATTGTCTTATTTTTAAAAAATGAAATAAACAACTTTAGTTTCAGGGCATCTTTATTATCTCACTAATTCCATTTGGTATAACAAGATAACATTATATTATAAATTTTAGGACATTATCATAAATTAAGACAGAGTGTAGTGTTTTTAAAGTTCAATTCATAAAATTATGGTAATAATAAATTTTGTAACTATTATAAATTTTTATATTCGTTATTATAAATCTATAATAGACGTGATTTTAGAGTTGAATTCTGAAAATTACAGCAATATCATATTTTTCCAATTTGGTTTGTTGCAAAGTTGAATTTTTAACTATGAAGCTTAACTTATATCATTCTTTTTACATTTTGTGGATTTCTTGTATTCTTTATTCTTGTCTTGATTCTTGAAAGTTCATTTTATCCACTCCCTATATCTTCCATTTCATACAATGTCTTATATTCTTTATTCCTTTCTTAATTATTGAAGTTTTTATTTTGTCCAATCCTCAACTTTCCCTTTCTTGTAATTTCTGATATCTGTGATATGACTTGTTGGTAAAGGGAGAGGCTTCATCTTTTTATTTCTTTCCATACATTTCTTATACAATTATTATCCTAGAAAACCAACTATCATAATTAACCTGTATATTATTCATTATAGTATTATCATTCTATGTCAGATTATTTAATGCCCTCTCTCCAAAAGTCTTAGAATTATTTATCTTTTGCAGCTTCATTATTGATGATTAGTTTATATATAAGTTTAGGTACACGAGTACACGTTGGTTGTTTATATCATAAGCAAACTCTATCTTGTATAATTCATTAATTAAGATAATCATATGTGTGTGTTTTGAATAGCTGTTATCGAAAGCATGAAATGGAAATTGCAACACAGTATAAGATTATTCCTTTGCGTATTACAGAATACAGATATGGAGATCGACATCAACACCAACAAGACAAGTAGATTTTCGATCGTATTACAGTACTCAACCAAATTCACCGATATCACCGTAACATTTAAGAATGTTACATAAAACCAACACTTGCTCGCAAGGAAATTAAACCAAACAAGATCAAACGCAAGAAGCCACGTACGACAAGAGAGAAATTTGAAGAAGCAGATGAATCTAGTATTCTGCAGGGTTTGCCAAAACGTAACCCTCGACAGCCTTGAAAAAACCGGTTCCCCTGGCCTTTGATTCTTCAAGCACTGCCTCTAAGAGAGGTGCATCGCCTTTGGTGTGGTATTTGACAGCGACCTTGGAGATGGAACCACCATCAGGACCAGGCACAACCTTTGTCTGAAGTGTGATTTTCTCCAAACTTTCATGCAACCCTGGTCCTCCCACTATGCTGTAATCAAATCCCAGGTTAGCTTCGTCCACTGCATCGATTTTCTGCAGCACAAAACTCGTTTCGCTACCTGCAACCATCATAATAAATTAATACCACTCAAACCCAAAATCTTAATAGAATATCTTGATATGATGTTCAACTTTCTTATTTTTATTACTCACATACTTAATAAAACCAATCTGAATTAGTAATCATGTATGTATGTATACACAATCAAAACAAACACTTCTCAGCTTATAATACACAAACACATTAAGCTAAAAGTAAAGCATAAAACGAGAGTTAACATTGTTAATGTCTATACACACACACACACACACACTGACCTTCAAGAGCTGTTAGCTTCTTGATGGTTCCAGGTCCACCATTTCCTTCAACAATTTCAATGCTCTGGATGACAGGAATAACCTTTGGGATGATGATGTCTGAATCTTTTGTGAGAGCTTTGTACAAAATTGCTGGAGGCAGTGTAGAGGAGTTCTCATCATCGTGAGCAAAAACACCCATGATCGATAATATAAACACACAAAAATTAATTAACACAGATTCTGAGATTAGAGTGTGCTTGGTTTGTGATGTGGTTTAGGGTATAGGGAGAGATGGTATTTATAGCCTCACACCAGCTACCATTCTTACTCATAAATGCTACTCAATTATCTCAACAACTTCACTCTCCATGGTGCTCGTCACGATGTTCATTTAATTATTGGATCATGAAGTATATTCCAAGTTTTATAATGAGATTAGGTGAATGAAGACTAAGAATTAGTCACAAAAGGTGGAATAAGTATCAGTACATCTTATTCTCTAATCAAAATGCTAGCAATCATGTACCTTTTTTAATGTTTTATGAATTCATAGTAGATTTTATGTATAGTTAATGATAGAAAATATTAAAAAGAAAATGTCAAATAGTTCATAGTTGATTCTTCTCTTATACAGATCGATCAACCCTAACAGAACTTGCAAATAAACCTTTTCATATAAAAATTAATTTATGAAAGTTTTAATTTGTTTTTTTCTTAACTTATGCTAAATCAGCTTTAATATTAATTTCTTTTACATTTTTAAATATCTATAAGTGCATCCAAACATATTTATAATACCTTAGAACATTCTTACCCAATGAGAATATGGTGGACTTCAATAAAATGAAGAACCCAACAAGGTTATGACAAAAATTAACCTGTTTGAGTGAAATCAAACTTCTGATGAAAATTTAGATGTGATTCTTTATACACTTTCAATATTATTTCTAATTAAAAATGAAATTTTATTTTCGTAACTTATATAAAGTTTTAATATAAATATCCGTTGTGCAAATTATTGAAATAAAAATTTAAGTCTAAAGAAAGTACATTAGACTCGGAGTTAGATTTTAAGATTCAAACACTTAGTGTATTAATTAGAGTGGAATGTAAAAAAGATTTATTATTATTCTGGTTAGAACATCCTATAGTCAATAACTTTTTGCCTTTTTACCTAAACCTTTATTTATTAGAGATATAAAATTCATGTGAATTCAAAGACGGCTTTATTTATTTATTTTTAAATAAAGAAGTTTATTAAGTTAATGAAATCACGGCTTTATTGATTTTTTTTTCAGATAATTATGTTGATGCCACTTTATTTTTTGCGTGTGCGTGTGTATATATATATATATTGGTAATAGAATAAAGTTTATTTTCTTCTCTAAGGATTTTTCTTTTACATTATTTGTGAAAACTTAATATGTGATTATCTTTCATAAAATAATTCCTCATTTTATTTACTTGTACGTTGTCTTTACTCTGATAGATATATCTAGATTAATTTTGTAGTATTCAGAATGATTCAACAAGTTCGATGTCATCAAACGTTAAAATAATAAAAAAGATATACCAAGAAATATTCTCATTTTAAAAAAAAATAGTTGCTATAGTAGTCAACGAATCTAATTCATTAGATTAAATTAAATCTATTATCAATAATAGAATTTAGTTTAACTAATAATTGATTAGCAATTAATTGACAGCTGCATGCTCACAACGTAATATCCCTCGAGAAATATCACAATTTATTAAAAAGCAAATTATTTTACCATGCTCGTTATAATATAATAAAAATCCGAAGAGTTTCATTAAATAAAGCAAATCCTATTATGAATTAATAAAAAAAATTATCATAATTGAACAAATTTTACATAAATTTTGTATAAAAGGATATTAATATCCTATGTGGAAAAGAATAACATTAAAAGATATATGTTACCAACATCCTTCGATCGAATTATTTGTCATCAAATGTGGACTTTGTCCAAATTGACCAAATGATAGAAACAATGTAACTTTGCCGACCATGAAATATATATATATATATATATGTATATGTGTGCGCGCGCGAATGCACGGTTTGTGTTGAGTCATACGCATAATTTTAAACACATTTTTTAATTTAAAATTGTACTTAATTATACAATGAACTAGTATATTTAATCTCTTAATTATAATTATACTATGAAGATAATCCAGAAAAAGTTAGAAATTGACTGAAGCAAAGAACAAAGAGTTGATGGACGGCAAAGTTTCTAAATTCACAAGCAAAGATGTGTTCTCTAATCTGGTTAATTTAATTTTTTATATTGTTTAGTTAAATAAGGTGTTTATGTATTAACAAGCTACTTATTACATTAAAATAGATAATAAAAATTGGGGTGTTCATAATATTTGAGATTCTCATTTTAAGCATATTTTAAGACAAAGTTACAATAAACATTCATTTCCTTTCGTTCCGTTGTGTTTCCAATATTTATTTATCAGCTGTGTTAATTAAGTGAAACAAACGCACACACCTATATATATCAAATTCATTGATTTGTTTTTTATTGCTAATGTATATGGTATTTGTTTAAATTAATTATATATAAGAAACATTTTCAATTATAATTATATCTTTCATCAAAATTAAGTTTAAGTAACTCATTGCATTAACTAGCCATTTTGTTTTGACTGCTAACCTCATGTCTATTTTTTTTCTGCATGAAATATTCAAGTTCTTAACGTGTTCTGGTTTATCTTATACCTAATTTTGTAGGTTTATTAAGTATGTTATGACTCTTAAGTTATTCTTCATTCAATCTCACAGAATGTAACATGGATTTTTAACTATAATACTATAAAGTTTAAAAAAATATTATTAATTTATTGGTGAGTCTGCATGCAGATATCCATGAAGGGTTGAATGGTTTACTGCAAAGAGGTTCAGTAATGAGGATTTGCCAGAAGATAGCCTTCAACGAGCTTCACAAGACCTTGGATCTTGGCTTGGTTAGCCTTCAGTTCCTCCTCAGTAAGAACAGCTTCACCTTTTGTGAAATATTTGGCATGCACCTTCCTAATTGTTCCTCCATTGGAGCCTTCTACCAGTTGGCTCTCGAATGAGATCTTCTCCAATGTCTCAGGCAAGCCACTGCCATCAATTATGCTGAAGTTGTACACAAAGCTACCCTCATCGATTGCATCAACTCTGTGCAGCACATACTTGCTTTCTTCACCTGCTCCCATGTTCATTTCATTCACATTCATCAAGTTTCTTTTACACAACAACGTTCGATTCTAGAATCTTATGTAAGTATGTGCTATGCCATGTATTGAATTAATTAAAAGGTAGCGTTTTATATTTACTGACCTTCAATGGTGGTGATCTTCTTGATGGTGCCAGGAGCTCCATTTCCTTGGGTGAATTCAATACTGTGGATGCTATCCACAAGCTTTGGGAAGAGGTTATGGAAATCCAAGGTCATGGCTTTGAAAAGCCTAGCAGGAGGCACAGCAGCAGGGGTGTCATAAACCTGAGTAAATACACCCATGACAGTGATGTGGTTGTTGTGAGAAGATGTTGGTGTTGGTTGCTGATATGTGGAAAGGGAAGTCTTTATTTATATACCAGTGGTGGCTGCCGGCTAGGGTGGCCTGCATTGGCCATGTGTGATGGTTAGGTATACTTCTACCATTTTGGTGGGGTCTCTCCTCCATTGGCATAATTTTTGGTGGAAAGAAAATATTTAGAAAAAAAGATTGACTCATTAGTCAAGTTGTGGTTTTTCTGCAATTGAAGTCATGTTCACCCACCATAAAATGTAGTGGATTCTTGAGAAAATATGAGAGCACTGAAGTGATAACAGTAATTAGTCATTTGATAAAAAAAAATACATATAAAATGTGTGTGTATGAGAAATGAGGTAGATGAAAAAAAAAAGGAGCCTATAAAAAGTAGGAAAATGTTATTTGGACAACGAAATTTTGACACAGATTTAACAAACCGCCACGTGTCAGCTCTTGATTGGCCAAATAAATTGAAAATAAACATAGAAAGGGTTACGGGGCGAGGGGTATTTGGGATTTCGAGGTTAAAATTTGAAGAATTGGGTTTCGCGGTTTAGGGTGGGAAGACGTTCGTTCAACCCTTGTCGCTCTCTCGCTCTCTCTCTCTCTCGCTCTCCCCGTTAAAATTTAAAGAATTGGGTTTGGGCGGTTTTCGGGTGGGAAAGAAGTTTGTTCAACCCTTCCATATTGTGTCTCGCTCTCTCGCTCTGTCGTTCGTCTCGAAGCTTCCATCTTCGCTGTCGTTGTCTCGCTCTCTCGCTCTATCATTTTTACTTTGTGTTAATCTCACTTATAATGACAAAAGTAGTGATTGAAAAATGAACGAACATTATAAGTAGAATTTGAAAAGTACGAGACCATTTTCAGTAAAATTAATGGTAATTAATGGGAAGGAGTTGATCAAATTCTGAGTGGGGAGATGGGTGTTGGTCATTGATGTAAACGCAAGAAGTGTGGAGTGACCCGTGATGAGTAGGGGACGAAGTATGCAGGGATGAGTCAGTGTTGAAAATTGGTCTGGTAATCGTTTACAGAATCCTGGGTAAACGATTACCCGAGAAAATTGGATTTTGTACATAAAGTACAACACAGGTAGCAGCCAGGTGAACAGGGGTCACCATTGGAAAAAAGCTCAGTTTTAGGCAGTTCTGCACCTGTCTGAGGCTGGTCCAGGTGTTTCGTGGTGGGAGAGGGTGGTTGGTGATGTGATGTGTGTCCAGAATGGGGGTGGACCCCTCATCAGTTGGAGGAGCAACTCTGCAAGGGATGAGTGAGGGTGTTGAAAAAAGGGTCTGGTAATCGTTTACAGCATCCTGTAACGATTACCCGAGACAAAACTGGATTTTCTACAGAAAGTCCAACACAGGTACTCAGTCAGGTGACACTGGGGTCCACCATTGGCCAAAAAGTGGAGTTTTAACAGCACTTTTGGCACTTTTCTTATGCTGGTCCTGGTGTTTCAGTGGTGGGAAGTGATGTTTTGGCACCCCATGATGAAGGAAAAAACACATGTTTATGAGATGAGCAACTTGGGTGAGATAACATGCTGTCAACTTTGACCTTTGCTGGCTATTTTACTGATAACTTTTCCCACCGACCTCCAAATGATGTGATTCTTTTTTTATAGAAACTAGACTCAAAATCTTTCCAATGACTACTATTTGTATTTTTTGGACATCTGAGTTGGTACAGTTTATTCTTTCAAGTTAGCGTTTCTATATTTTTGCCAACTCTGACCTTTGCTTGTTCTTTTGCTCATAACTTTCTTCACCACCGAACTCCAAATGAGTTGATTCTTGTTTTGTTGGAATCTATACTCAAAGACCTTTCAAATTATGCCTTAGAAATCAAGTTTACACCTTTTTTGACACTGTAATCGATTACAAGGACACTGTAAACGATTACCCGAGACAAAACTGGATTTTGTACAGAAAGTCCAACACAAGTACTCAGTCAGGTGAACTGGGGTCACCATTGGCCAAAAGGTGAGTTTTAAGCACTTTTGCACTTTCTTAGGCTGGGTCCTGGTGTTTTCAATGGTGGTAAGTGATGTTTGGCACCCATGATGGAGAAAAAAAACAATGTTTATGAGATGAGCAACTTGCA